AAAGCTCCGAAAATTGCAGGGCCGCAATCCATAGTCTTATCATTTTCTCCAAACTTCTCAACATTTATTACTACAGAGCCTTCTCCTTCCTCAAGAAACTCAAAAAACACAAAACCCAGAAGGCTCCTTGTTGCAGAAAACGAAAAGGTTCGAGCTTTTTTATATAAGCATGAAATTTGAAGGATTCATGAAGGTCCCCCTTCTATACAATTTCAATAGAAGGGGACAAATCCGAAAATCCAAAGTCTCTGAAACTCCGCGGTTCTTTGTTTTTGTATGAACAGGAGGGAGAGGAATAAAAGGAAGTAAAAATAAGAGGAAATGGAAAAAGGATTAGTCTTTGTATGCTTTTTTGAGAAATTGGAAAAAAATGGGAGTCGGAACTGCAACCACAATTCTCTCGTTTCCCAACTATCTGCGTCTCACGCGAATCACAATCCTCTCAGCCAATCAAAAGGGCTTACTGTTAGTTCCTGCTTTTGTCATTTGAGTTGAAGGCAGCGAGGAGAGAGAGAGAGAGAGCAAAATAGAGGCCAGAAAAAAGCAAAAGCTGTCGACAAAGAGAGGGAGAGAGGGTTGGTGGTATGAATTGATGCAACGTGTCCCCTTTGGAAAACCGCTTCAAGAAATTATAATAATAAAAACTAATAAAAACAATTTGAAAACTTTAAGTCTTAACGATAAAAATAAAATAAATAGTACTAAGATTGATTTTTTAATATAAAATTTTGATTTTTAATTAAAGTGAATAATATTAATAATCTTTCGTTAAAGTTCTCATTATAATAACTTGCAGGGGTTGGTCACGCTGAGTTGAGTGATCAGCACTCAGCAAACGTTGTTTTAGCTAGTTAAATTGATAAATAAACAGTAATCCAATTTAGATTCTTGGGGTTGAAGGCAGATTCTCTGCCCTTTCACTTTCTGTGTCATTCTATTTGTATGATCACGGTTAAGTTACGTCAATATTTTATATTACTATTTATTTTTATCTTATTATCTCTATAAAAAAACAATATAAAATATTAACGAAGTTTAACTGTAACCTAATAAAATAGAAGAACACAAAAAATGAGAGGGCAGAAAATCTGCCTCCTTGGGGTTTGGGATAAGGATTTTGTATGTGTTGTGGATGAGGACAACAAACTTCTAGGCGTTTCTACAATTTGTGCCAAGTGTGTGCTGGAGCTCCGCTGGATTGGATTTGAAAGATTAGGAGATAGAGAAATATTGAAAGAAAATAATTATAATTTAACGTCAATTTATGTACTAATGTTATAAAATATAACATTAAAAATATTAAATGGTAAAGAGTTCATAAAGAATTCTACTTTTAATATAATTTTCTTATCATTTCTCTTGAAAATTTAGAATTCCCTTTTTATTTGTGTCGCTCGTAAACTTGAAAACTTTGAAAGGTCGCCCTAACCCACAACCGACCAAAAACAACGGTCCTTGAATTCAATATCCAGCAAAGAAAAGAAACCCATATTTCCAATCACGCGCTTTCAACGAAAGGTGGAGTTTGACCAAACAAAAATAGGTAAGCAACATATATGGATTGATTTTATTTTGGACGTTGCAGTTTAACAATATTATATTATAAAGAAAAACTTACACAAGTTATGTACTATTAAATCAAATATTGTCAAATTAGAATGTCACGTGATGAAAATCCGTTATATGTTAATTATTTTCATATACGAGACATGAAAAACTAGTTCTTTTATTTGGATCAATCATGAAAAATTTGTTGCATATATGTTAGTTATTTTCATATATGCAAGCACACATCTGCTAGCTACTAACAGTTCCCAACCTCTCATGGTACGGTCGGTTGTTCTTAATTTCTTACACGCTGACCACGTTTGACTTCGCTTTTGCTAGTCTTCACAGAGAACAATTAACCGATGATGATGATGATGCTATAGTTTGTGTTCATTGTTGAATAGATACTGCACTTTATGACATACAATTTAATGAGAGTAGTATCAAGGTCGGAATTTTATCTTAATAAGGCATAATAAAATGATCCTACGAAGGAATAATGTGAGATATTTCATCAAACGCATAGTTTCTTTCTTTACAAAAGAACTCAAAGTGGGATCAAGGTTGTATAAGAATATCGAAAGAATACAAAAGATATTGGAATCAATGCATTGGCCCCCATTGGGGTTGTGAATAGTTTGTTAGGTACAATATATTTTTCTTTGTGGGAAAGATTATGCGTTTTTTGTACGTTATCTTAGCTGTTTTTTGTACGTTATTTTGTTTTAATTTTTTTCAAATATTTTGTAAAACTTTCATTCTGACTCAGTGTTCACATAATAATGAATAGAACTGGTATTTTGGACTTGACTTGTTAACCCGACTCAACCCATTAATATTAGTATTTGGATGGATCTTAACGGGTTGGATCGCTAACGAGTGAACCCGTTAACAACCCATTAAACAACGGGTCACTTTGGGTCAACTGGTTAGACCCGTTAGCACCCTTTAGTTGAGGATGTTTTAGTAATTTCAGTCAAGCCTTAACAACAAAAAAATAAACTTTATGCAAAAAAAAAAAATAATGATAATAATAATAATAATAATTGTTAACAAATGAAACGGGTGGCCCATTAACTTAACGAATCGGGTTCGGATGACCTGTTAACTTAACGGGTCGAGTTAAACTCAACACAAACCCAATAAACCCGATCTGTTTACAGGTCTATTAATGAATACTTAGGCAGTTAGGCATATAGAGGCAATTGCTTTGATTGGCGCCCTAACGTGATGCCCTAGTGATTAGGGTTAGTTTTGGTATGAAATTGGTGCAGAAAATTAGGGTTAGTAAACCAAACAGATTCGAGTGATATGGCCCGATATTCACATAATAATAATTTGATAAGGGAAGGTGTCCCGCACGTTTTGCAAAACGTGGTGGGATTTTGATGAATGGGTGCATATACAAATTCATTGTTTTTTCTCTTTTTAAAAAAGGGGAGCAGTTCAATTTATTACTACGATTTAGTGATATTTCTCTTCATTTATAAGTAAGAGGTATGTAGATTCGATTATTGCCAAATGTGAATTTAAACCACATTATTGCTAACTCATTGTGAGACTAATCTCATCCCTCTCCCTCAATGTAGATAATATCGGTTGTTAAAAAAAGAAAAGAAAAAAAGGATCAGCTAGTTACTTTGTCATGATAATCCACTTTTTTGGACTAAAAAGACTCATCGAGGCATTCCAACATTCCCTTAATCAACATCGTGTAATCACCAAAGCCATGAATCGATCTAAAAACATATTGTATGAAATGCAAACTTGAAATTCGTCATCTATTATTGAGTCACTTCATGATAATTCATGCAAATTCATTGTCGGCTGTGACAGGATAAATAAATAAAAAAGACAAACAAGTTGGCTCCCGGGCAACTAGAAGCTGCCAGCGGGAGGAATCCCAGCCCCAAATAATAAATAATAATCCCCACCATTATAGAAACAGGGAGTTTGGCGAGCGGTAGTCCATCCTGCGCTGTTGCTAGTTGTACAAAGGCAGACTCGTTGCATGGTTTGATGAGTGCCGTTGTATTCCATCCTACGCCACTAAAATAAAATGTTAGGAAGGTTATATTTTTATGTAACATTAGTGTATTATTGATGTGATAAATTAATGTGTACATATCAGGTTAATAATAAATTTATCTGATTGAATATTGGTTATATGCATCATTTGTCATATGCGATGATACAATAATGTAATTAAAAAAATTGATATTCCTAGCATGGCTCATCATAGAAAATTGCATATCATAACTTCGTTTTTTGCTGTGATACTTACCACAATTTCTATATTACATTTGTACTACCTCTCTAATAGAAGTAGAGCCGACCAAAACAAGTGGATCCTACCTCTATTAAAAGGATAATCCAAACGTGGTATGAAAAATAAGGTAATGGAATATTTTCATAGGTAAATGGTCCCATATTAACTATTTTTTAGGCAAGAACACATGAATTGGATGGACTAAACATAGTTCTGGTTTCATGTTTGGCAGCTAAACTAAATTTTGTATTGGATTAAACGACTAATAATTCACTATCCCTTACCTAATTATTTGGAAGTAATTAATAAAAATGTTTAAACAAAATTGTGAAATGCAACCAAAAAAAAAAGAAAAAAAGAAAAAAGAAAGAAGCAAAGAAAGGATAACTGTAAACTGCCAGAAACGAATACGACAAGACGACGATGTTTGCTTTGATGATACGCTGGCCGCGTGAAAGTCCAGCGCCAAATCTGAAAGTCGGAAAGCAAAGGCCAAATGTTTTGGTCAGCAGAATCTCCTCTATTCTGAAAACTTCTAGTGCATCATTTGCCACATTAATCACATGACGTAATTGATGATTAATAACTGCTAATCCCAATTTTCAAACGTCGTCGTTCTAGAAGCGGAGATCTAGATTGTTAAAGTTGGCCCAACCCCAAAACTGAACTCTCTCAAAATTACCGGGAGGGCACTCCTCTTTTTTCTTCTTCTACATTTATTCCATTGTATCCGTCTCTTGATTTCATTTTATTTTTCCAATCCAAAGGTTAAAAAGGAGTACCGTAACAGAACAAAAACAATAAAAAGGAGTACCGTAACAGAACAAATGGAGATTGCGAAAATCAGTTTCGTTTCAAGAGCATCATCATTCGGGTGCGAAAATCAGTTTCCTTTCAAGAGCATCATCATTCGAGAGTGAAGATTCTGAAATCAATAATGCTACTTGGACACACATGTTGGAATTTTATAATATATAAGTGTGTTTCCACATATAATAGCGTGGTACATCTTTATTAAAAAATGTATAAGCAAGTGTGTCGTTTTGTGCGTAAAAAAAAATCCAATTTAGTCTTACTGGCCCAAAACTTCCTAACCTTAAGTCAATATTCATTGGGCTTTAAGGTAGCAGGCCCAAATTACATGTTGAGCCCAAAAATTCACTCCCCTATCGATTTTCATTTGCAGCAAAAACCCCTTGATCACTCTCTTCCTCTCTCGCAAAACCCTAATTTCAGAGATCCAATGGCGCTGCAACAGTTCGGGCGGACGAAGAGCGTGACGAAGCGGTCGAGCAAGTACTTGGAGGAGGCTCTGTACCTGAGGCTGTTCAAAGACGGCGGCTCCGAGGTGAGCGTTCGGCAGCAGCTCAATGAAGTCCTCAAGAGCCGCAAGCGAGTTTACAAATGGGAGGTCGGCGACACTCTCAAGAAGCTTCGCGAACGCAAGCTTTACTACCCTGCTCTCAAGGTCCGTAATCCCAAAATCCCAACATTTGTTATTGGTTACGGATTTTGCTGCGTATTTTTTACACAAAAGTTGCTCAATTTATGATCTCCGAGAGCAGTATTTATAGATAATTGATTTGTTGAATTTATGCCGAGCTTAGAAGTAGGATTTGATGGATAATTATTTAAAGTGTATGATTTTGAAAACTTAGTAAAATGGTTGGAATTGTTTATTGTAATTTTGATGATTTTGTTCGAGAAATGTTGCATATTTTTTTGTATTGAGAGGTTAGAATGTATGGTTGTTTGTCGAATCGCCAATGTGAACTTACGCTTATATGTATTTTACATGCATTATGGCTATTATTTGTATGTTTTTCTTAGGGGGGAATTGTTCTTGATAGATGCAATTTGAATTGATTTGTGATATCCAGCTCGAGATTAGTATTCCATGTGGATTTCATACAATATATTTTCTAGTCTCTTTTTAGAATGATATTGGATAAGATAAAGCTTGATCCTTCAATATTTTTCTTTGTTGCCTTTCTTTGTTTCTTGTTTTCCCTGTTCTAATTTGAACTGCAAGACTGGACGTAAATGCTAAGCTGTTTAACATTACAGCTCTCGGAAGCTATGGATAGAAGAGGAATGAACAAGACGGTCAGTGATCAGGCAATACATCTTGATCTTGTTGCTAAAGTCCGAGGTATTCCTGCTGCGGAAAGTTATTTCATTGATCTTCCTGAATCAGCAAAGACCCATCTTTGTTACGGGGCCCTGCTCAACTGTTACTGTAAGGAATTGATGACTGAAAAAGCGGAAGCCCTTATAGAAAAGATGAAGGCTCTTAACCTACCTTTAACCTCCATGCCTTATAACAGCCTTATGACCCTTTACACAAAAACTGGAAAGCCGGATAAGATCCCAGCCATCGTACAAGAAATGAAGGCCTGTAATGTCATGCTTGATTCCTATTCATACAATGTTTGGATGCGGGCACTGGCTGCTGTTAATGATATTTCTGGGGCTGAAAGGGTTATTGATGAGATGAAGAGGGATGGTCGAGTTGCCAGTGATTGGACCACGTATAGCAACATAGCTTCAATTTTTGTTGAAGCTGGCATGTTTGAGAAGGCAGAAAATGCGCTTAAAGAATTGGAGAAGAAAAATTTGCACCGAGATCTTTCGGCTTTCCAATTCCTCATTACATTGTATGGTAAAACAGGGAACCTGCGTGAAATTTATCGGGTATGGCGTTCCTTGAGGCTGGCTTTCCCTAAAACTGCAAATATCAGCTATCTGAATATGATCCAGGTGTTGGTCAACTTGAATGATGTACCAGGTGCAGAGAAAACTTTCAGGGAATGGGAATGCCAGTGCTCAACCTATGATATTCGGGTAGCAAATGTTTTGATTGGAGCTTATGCTGAACAGGGTATGCTAGAGAAGGCCAAGGAACTCAAGGAGCTGGCGCGCAGGAGAGGAGCCAAGCCTAATGCAAAAACCTGCGAGATCTTTCTGGATTATTATCTGAAGTCTGGAGACTATCAATTGGCGGTTGATTGTGTTGCCAATGCAATATCCATTGGTAGGGGGGATGGTAGGAAGTGGAGTCCGTCACATAAGATTGTCAAAACTTTGATGGAGATTTTCGAGCAAGAGAAGGATGTTGATGGTGCAGAAGGTTTTCTGGAGACTCTGAAGAAGTCCGTAGAATCCTTAGGGGTTGAGGTGTTTGAATCATTGATCAGAACTTATGCTGCTGCTGGAAGGACAAGTCCTGCTATGCGTGCTCGTTTGAGAATGGAGAAATTGGAGGTGAGTGAAGCCAGTGAAAAGTTGCTCGAGGCCGTATGTGTGGAATGAGATTTGGTTATCTTCCCATATATGTATTTTCTTCAGACTATTTCGAGAAAACGAGTTTCCTTGGTCTTGCCTAGGGGTTTATGTTCTGATAATAAAACGTTCCTTTGTGCACCATAACAAGCAATCATATGATTATTGTTGTAGTTTTGATACTGAATTCAATTCTCGACTTATTCTGCGTTGTACCATTTACAGTATTCAGGTCTGAGAAGAACCAGGATCCCTTTGACCTCTCGTCCAAGCGCACCATCGAGATTATTAAGTCGAACCTTGTTCCACCCAAGAAGCCCAACTTCTAGCAGGGACACGTCGACTACTACATGTGCATCTCTAATAAAAACGTAATTTTTTTTTGTATTTTTGTCTCACTCGAACTTATGTTTGTCACACGTTATGTGATAGATGTGCATGTGCTAATAGGGCAGCCCTACTGAAAGTTTCTTCTGTGAAACGAACACTGGTATAGCTGATGGCTATGATACATTGTCAATCTATTCCGGGCCACCCCCCCAACCGCACAATGTGTCATGGTGAGTGGCTGTTAGTCACCACTCGCAAAAGAGTATTGGATAGGATTGTCTCGTGCATCAACTTACTCACGTAATGGGTAAATGCCGGCATTATACAATCGTGTTCGATGAAAAATTCTTCTATGCAGACGGGTGCACACTCACAAGGGAGTGAAACCCCTTGGCACCCCACCATTGAGTGAGACGAAGACTTGGCCTACCAAAACTTTCTCCACACCACATGTACAGTTAGTGAGAGCTCCATTAAAACGTAATGGAAGACCAGGCATTCCATTTGAATCATCTTTTCCAAAGTCAATGCTCTTAACAGTCAACTACTCTGAGAGAGAGAGAGAGAGAGAGAGAGAGAGAGTTTCATATATATATATATATGGAATACGACTTCAATTCATGCAACATCATGGCATGTGAATGTGATGTTCATGTGCTCATCTCATCAGTCATGTCGATAATCCACATTCCATGCATTCTCTGGCTTAAATTACAGGTCGACAGATTTGACTTTTCGTTTATTCCACTAACCACCGACTTGGCTTCCAAGTCAGATTCTCTTTTTATCTCTTTTATATTCTTCACTTGTTGCTCTGCTACAAAATAAGAGAGACTTCAAGGCATCCCTTTGTATCATTTCACTGCTGCGACAGTGGAGGATACATGAATATTTCTTTTCGCACGTCATTTTACTTAGGTGCTCCAGACCTTTTACTTTACTTCAGCCTCTTTCGGACATCTTTTTGAATGTCTTATCTCTTTGACAATTATACTCAAATGTATGATCAATAGAACATTAGATAACATATCCAATATACAATAACCCTAATACTAGACGACTCGTTTCCATTGGAAGGAATCTGGTTTGCATGATAGTGTCGACACCTTTTTTATATAGCATCAAGCTTAATTATGACTAATAGGAAATAAAGTAAACTTTAAGAAAAAGACTGAATCCCAAATCATGCATGGAGGAGGCATCGTCGACATTTTCATGTGGGAACACGAAACAAGGACTCAGAAATATGCTTAACATTGGCACCGTATGTCAATAATTAATATGTTGTATAATTAGTTTTGGGGTTCTAGGTAATTAAATACATTATTGTATAGTTTAATGATTTTGTGTGCGTGTGTGTGAAACAGTGTCATTGTCTTCAATGGCAAGGAACCCAACATATAATCCTTGGGCACAGCTTCGGCTTCACAGTTGTAACCTTCGGCACGCATGGGATGGGACACCAACTTGTAATTATCTTTAATTAACAAAAAATAGTTTATTTAATCTTATATATTATTATGCTTTAAGCACTGGACCACATGGTAATGATCTATAGCTATGGACTATAGGGTTTTTTTATGCACAATAAACTAGATAGGGTGTTTAAGGCTACACTATTTTATTATTTTGGGTTTTTGAAACGTTTTCCACTCAATAACGTTTACTTTTCTTTTGAACCAATTATGATTTTTTTTTTTTTCTTTCTAAAAAGGAGACTAGCGGGTGGATCGACTATGACAGTTCACTTTTTTGAGGGTCGAAAAGACTCCTAAGACGTGCTGCAGAATACGGACTTGAAATTCATCTCCATCACTGGACCATCCTATGGCGGTTGACCAATTATGATTGTTGGGAGAATGTAATTTTCAATGGGAAGCGATTTATACGATGTTTTGTGTTATACATGCATTTAACTCTCTTTTAATTTGTTCAATCTGATGGCTAAAAAAATCCAAAAAAGTGAAAATTAATTGCGCAAAAATCATACACAATTTCGCATATACAACATAGGTGAAAACAAAGCACAAAAGAATGAAATCAAGCCATAGTATATTCACTATTTTTTTTTGTTGCCCAAAATTTACATAGAAGTCCCTAAGGGTGGTATAATGAATAAATCACCAGTTAGCTGGGAGAAAAAGAAAGAGGGATTAACAAAGGAAGACAAATACAAGAATACCCAAACTGAACTGACGATGGATTAACCCAAAATCACCCAAGAAAAAAGAAAATTGAAAATTTAATATTATGTAAATATAAAATCCTAGCTCTATACCTTTCCCTTAGGGACACCTCACATTTCTTCCAGGACCTCCATAGTAAAAATAATTCCCCCAAACGTTGTTAATCCCCCCTTGAATATCATAGCAATTTGGATGATCAGCCAAAACTTTGAGGTTGGATAATGGGATTAAGCTATTATCCCAATCCACAACCTGCATGTTTCGAAAATATGAAGCTTTTCCAAACCCTTCACCTGCAAAGTGCCCACTGCCCATCTGTGTGGCTGTGTGGGAGCCTGAAGGCCTCGAGTTCACAACTTCTCCCCCAAATTGTACCATGCTTGCGTGGTTTTGAAGGTGAGTGAACAAGAATGATGGCCAGTATCCGACTAGGACTCCGTTCCCGAATTCTAGCCACCAATTTCCATGCTTTGGATCCTACAATATGCACAAGTAATTAGGGTTACTATAAGTTTTTACTTTCTTCTTCTTCACTAGTGCGACTCACTCATGAAAACTAGTTAGTTGGTTCGTGAAACTAATACACTTTCTATTATTCGAGCGATATTGAGGAGGGGAAATTAAACAGAGAACTTAGGTACTTAAACACTTTAGCTACAAAGGACTTGCATGCATGGTGATTACAAAAGCATATGGGAAGTGAGTAAAATGGATAAAGCAAAACCAAGTTTATTGTACTATATATGTCACCTTGAGGAGTCAAAATAAGAAAACCCTAGAAAAGAAAAAGCAAATGATGGAAGAGCCAAGGAGCTCTTTCTCTAGTGAAAAAAAGAGAAGGGAATCCAGCAAAGCAGAAAGCACGAGGAATTTACAGCCCATTATTTTGGACTTTACCACTGCAGCAGGCACGCCTGCGGATAATTTTTTTATTTTTATTTCTGGTGTTTGGGTTTTCTTTATTTTTATCATTTGTGGATAAATTGTTTGTTGTTGCAGTTCAGGCGTTTGGCTAAGGTTATTTAACATGGCAATCCTCTAGCACATGTGACACTGCTAAATCTGTGGAGGGCCTATTACTGACCATCGGATTTGCAGACTTTTTGAACTTTTCCTGATTTGGGAAACTATGCAAATCGCTCGGTCAAAGTGTCATCCATCACCAAATAACTATCCTATATAGTATTTACCTTCCAGGTATATAGGGACCTAGAACATTTTTGGCTATGGGTCCTTAAGCACCTAACTTTGCATGCACAAAAATGGACCAATAAGGTGGGAGTAGGATTTTCTCTTCTCTTAATTTCTTTCCCTTCCCTCTTATTTAAACTGTTAAGATTGAACCATATCACATCTTGTTTTGAATTTTTTGTAGAAAAGAACACAAAAATAAAAGTATGAGAAGAGGGGAGGGGAGGAGAGAATCCTGCATAACTTTTTATTGAGCGAGAAAGTGATATATTCATTGACATCATAACTAAAAACCTGTAGATCACTACTATTTCCATGCCAGATTTACTAAGGTTTTTTTTTTTTGGGGGGCGGGGGGGTGGGGGGTTGGTGGGTGGGGTGGGAGTGAGAAAAAGCATGTTTAAATATCAATTAACTTGCTTAATTAGAGGTAAGGGATATAAGCGCATGTTTAAATTTTCAAACTATAACGGATTTGCCCCTTCTATGCATCCCCTATGCCCACAGTTTAAACTAGTTTAAAATAAAAACCTGGTATGAAAAGAAAAGGTTACCTTCCAAATTAACAAGCTAATATCAAATTGTCCACCATGGTAGGAAGAAGTTGGAGAAATTGCGGCTCCAATGGCAATTCTACTATTCGTCTGAACAAATCCAGAACACAGTAAATTGTAGCATCCAGTTGCTTGATATGCATCCGTCTGCAAAATAAATAATATAATAATTATTCTTATTATGGTGTGTAATTATTATTATTATTACATCTTACTTATTATCAGTATTATTATATCTTATGCTTGTCGTCGAAGGCAAGGTGATTTTGTATACTTACAGTCCAATAAGTAAAGAATCTAGGGTAGTTGTCCCCATACAGCTCTGGACTGACCTGCACAAAATTAAATGAATTTAGCCCCCCCATTAATGTTATACATTACAATGCAGAAGAACAAGATGAAGACGACGACTCAAAGAATAGAGGTGGTTGAGCTGTGTTCACTGCCTTATATGTCAAAATTATTGATTTGTACTCTATGCATTGAAATTCAAATAGTCTGCCACCATCGTATTGCGCGTTACACTGTATCTTTCATGGGTTAAATCACTCTCAAACTTGTAATCCTACATAAATAAATAAAGTCGGAGAGACGCTCAACATGTAATGAAGACCGTAAATATGGATATATGGTCAATTTACTGTCTGCTTAGGGTCAGTCGGTTGTGTTTTCTATTAAAAATTTGTAATCAATTCTATCGGTGCATGTTTCGAGAATCCTAGCCCTACCAGTTCAATAATTAAACAGAGAAAGAGAGAAAATTCAAGGTTAATTAGAGGGGAAGTTTAGTGATGAAAGATACACATGCCTGCCAACCAGCTTCAATGGTGTTGAGGTCATCACCAAATGAACCAGAGATGACCCACATCTGGGACAAGCTGAATTCATATTGATTAAAAACTTTGGGGGCCCAGACATTGATGCTA